CATAAATACAAGTACGATTCATGTATATATATACAAGGAGCAAGCAACTCAAAATTATATGCTCGCAAAGTGTCCAAACAAAAGTCACCAAAAGAGTTCACAAACATTGTATCCTAAAAAAATCCCAAAAAGACAAAAGGCTCCATTTTTTAGGCTTATCAAAGCAGGCCTATCGACAATTATGAAAATAGGCCCATAAAAAATGACTCATGAAGCTGACCTAAGGCTAGTCTCCGAGTTGATCACCTACATATATATAAAAATACAGAGTGAATGAGGCTCAGTGAGTAATAATAATGTAAGGAGGTTACAATGAATGAGCATGTGTCTCGAGAAATATATATATATATATATAACATATACATTTATCATAACACGAAAAGATAACGTATACATAGACAACACGAGTTAGGGTTTACAATCTAACTCAACACAAACCCCAAAAGCAATGCATCACCGGATATATAACGTATACATAGAAATTTCTCAAAAGCAATTTCTTAAGATAAACCCCAAAATACACTAACTCGTGTAGCATATAACGTATACATAGAAATTTCTTAAGATAAACCCCAAATTACATAGAAATTGCTTTTGAATGAGGCTCAATGGGTTTGTCTATGTATTCTTTTCGTGTTGTATATGCTTACATGAGTTCAAAGCATGCAAAGACTCAAGATTAGAAAGCAATTTCTCACAATCCAACTCAAGACCAACCCCAAAATACAAGAATAAACCCTTTAATTAAACAAACCCAAGGATTCCATGTCCATTTTCATGAGATTTGTTCAATTAAGATCATAATCCAAAATCCCTAACTTTCATGATTGTCAAAGCTTCCTCTCAAGTCTTGATTTTAACCAATTGAAGAAAGATTTAAAGTATTTTAGTTGATTTACACTTACCTTTAGCTAATTCTTTGAATTACTCTTTGAATTTCTTCAATCTCCAAGCTTTAGGTTGACATTCCTCTTTTCTCTCTTTTCTTCCTCTAGCTCTCCTCCAGGAGATATTTTTGTGTTGGACTCTAAGTTTTAACACTAAGCTCATGTATATATCTCTTGTGTAACTAAGGATTAGCTTATTAAAGTCTAAGTCAAGCTTAATTAAAAGCTTAGTCTAATTAAATTCAATTAATTCGTTACGAATTAAATTTTTACAAAACTTTATATTATGTCCTAAAAATTATGCTAATCATAACTATAAAGTCAATTTTGGTTTATCTCGCCTCTAAGGCTTTCAATTTTCAGTCCAAAGGTTATAATTTCAACAGATTTTCTTATAACCGACAGATACAATTTCATAATCATATATGCTACACATTTAAACATTTAATTTCACATCAAGCATATAATCACACATATAAGTAAAGACTTAAAGCATATGAGAGAGCCGGGTTGTCGCACTTACAAATCTGAGATTAGATCTGTGCTTTTCTCTCTCCCTCTCTCACTTTTTCTCTCCCATCTTCATCTTCTCTGACTAAATCGCCAAGGTGTTTGAAAACGAGCTTGCCAATCACGGTCTCCAAGAGTGCGATGACCATTATGGTGGAGCTAATGTTAGTTTCTTAGATCTCTGGCCAATCAGTCTCATGATGGGAGCGATATAGAAAAGGTAGTAACTGTTGGTGATTCCAAACTCTACACTTTGCTTGATCCGGTGAGAAAATGGTTGCTTCACTTTCTCTTTCTCTTTTGATGAGACTGCCTCCAAATCGGTGGTTCCAGCGACGATTTAGGCTTGTTGCCGATGATGAGTTTAGATATAAGTGGTGATGGCTCTAAGGTATCACCGGATGTGAAACCACCATCTTAGCTCTTTAAATCGGCATATGAAGTTCCTCATATTTGTGCTTACATTGAATAGATCTGTGTGTATATATCTTTGTCAAATCTCCTCTCTCTCTTTCTCTCTCTCTCTCCCCCTATTTCTCTCTCTCGCTATTTACATATATTTTTTTCTTTGTAGTTTAAATGTAAGTTTAGATTTGATATTGTTGTTGTTGTTGTTGTTGGTTGTGGTGGTGGTGAGTTTGATGATGATGAAACATATTGCAATAACTATGCGCAACTTGTTCAACATAGATCGATTAAAAAATATTATAAGAAGAAAATAATTTAAACAAATAAAATAAGAACAATTGCACAAATTTAATTTTTTTAAACAGATTCAATTCTTTTCAACAGATCTGACCTCCAACTGATAAAAACATTGAATAGATAAAAAAAAATGAACATATAAGTTCAACAGATAAGAAAAGATAAGGGAGAAATTGAATATATAATAAAATTTGGATAGATAAATTTAAACAGATAAGGTAAAAATTGAATGGATAGATAATTTTAACAGATAATTTTGATAGATTGGGGGAAAAAATTGTACAGAGAGGGAAAAAATTTAAACAAATAGAAAATAATTTGAACAGATAGTCAACAAAAAATCAACAGATAGATAAGCGGTAAAATTGGAAATAAAATTTCTTCAAAAACCAGCAAAAAGACTTTTCATCAAACTATTTCACAAATGGTAGACCTTCCACCAATAAAATATATCCACTGGATTTAGTGCCTTATAACCCCTTTAGATTGGACTTTTTAACAATTTTTTCTTTTATGAAAATAAGGGACCAATCATTCATTTGTTAGGTTTTTGCAAGATTGAGTCATTCATTTGAAAAAAATTAAATATTTGACTTCTAGGTCTCAGGAAGATTTCTATAGAATATGCTAATACAAACAAAAACAAAATCAAAAAAAATTGTACAAAATTGTTATACAAAAAATGGTGCAGTTTATTTTGATCTCTTCATTTAAAAACACAATATCCATTAGTACGATCGTAATTTACAATGATTTTGGAAGCAAATTATGTATAAAATTTTGATGATGTAAAATTTTTCTTTCTTTTATATTATACACTTCGCAAGCAAAACAATTTCAACATTCAAAAAATCAAATTTAAAAAAAAAAAAATCACAAATCAAATTCTAACTCTCGGCATTACCAGCCTTGTGCCTCCAACAGTATGCACATACTCTCCAAATGTTTGAATTTGATTTGTTTTTTTCTACAAATCCAATTAAAGGGTCTATTTTGTAACAAAACAAACAAGACATTCAATACAAGACATAATATTAAATCGGATGTTCTTAAGACAACTATTTGAAAAAGTTTAGGGTCTATTTGATATCATTTTTTTTTCTTATTTTTTTCTTCTGGAAATACAATTACAGTTATAGATTTCATGGCTTCTAACTTAAGAGATATGAGTATTAAGCCATTGTTAAAAACAAAATAAAAAATTTTTAATCACAAAGAAAATTCTACCTATTGCCATTATCCTTCACCAACATGAATAATATATTGTGACATGTTTGAATTTAACGTAGTATTTATATTTGAAACTTTAATTTGATAGTTTACCTTTTTTTAAAAACTTCCAAAGCAAAGTTATTGTGCCGTGATTATTTATTCATAGTATTTCTAGAGTAGTTTTTATTTTCCACTTTTTTATCCTACTTGTTTGGCTTGTAATTTTTAATTACTCTACTTAGTTCTAGATCCTATACATCATCTCTGCTAATAATAATTAAAGTATATAATTAATGTATGTGTAATGTATAGATTAATAGATAGTGGCTAATAATTGTGCTCTCATTTTGGCTGAAAGCTTGCCCTCATGATGGTCTTCCTCATGATGATGTTTTGTAATAGCATAGCATAGCATATTGTTCTCTCCTATATAAAGGAGTGTAGTGTGTTCGTCTAGATTCAGAAGATTAAATACAAGACTTATTTCTTTCTCTTCTCAATTAACTCTCTCAAATTATCATGGTATCAAAGCCTAGATTTTTATTCTAGCCTCTTCTTCTTCTTTTTTCCTGTCTATCTGGCAGATTGCTTCCTTCTCACGTTGGTCTCTGTGTATCTAGTCTTTTTCTGTTTCACAGTTTGGACAATACCAGATTCTTCATCTCTTCCCGACGAAGCCAACGCCACCGGAATCATCATCAACCAACGCTCCACGTTCCTCCACGCGCTGTCCTGTTAGCCAACGCGCCCTATGCGCCTCCTGCACTTGTCTCGCGCTATTTTGCGCCGTGGCTTCATCTGCTAACGTGAGCCATGTGTTTCTGACGTCAGCCCTGGTTGCTTCCGTGCACTCCTTCTGCTCTCCTGCTATCGTGTGCTGCGTGCCTCTATGCTAACGTGTGCCGTGCCTGCTGACATCATTTTTTGCTTTAGTGACATCGGCTCTAGCCCAAGTTTGGTCAACTACTTTGACTAAACCGATTCCAAGCCTTTTTTGGTCGTATTTTTTGTCCGCTTGGTCCTATTCCCACTAATTTCGACCTTTTTGAATTCACTGGTACTCGCAGTTTTTTTAGATTCTGCATCTATCGTGTTGGTTTCCTTCATGGATAGACCGAACTCTTCTCATCACCCTATTTCCGTTGTTCTTGATGGGACCAACTATGTCTTATGGGCACAAGCCATGTCTGGCTTCCTCAAAGGCAAGAAACTTTGGCGTATTATCACTGGGGATGTACGCAAACCCATCCAAGCGACCACTGAATCCGCTGACAAATTTGTCGACTGCTTGGAGGATTGGGATAGTAAAAACTACTAGATCATCACTTGGCTTCGGAATACATCTACTACCTCCATCAGCCTTTAGTTTGGTCGGTTCCAACTTGACTCTGTTTCCACTCCAGCAAAAGACATATGGGATTTTCTGAAAGACCGATATCAAACTACTGGTCTTGCTCACCAATATCATCTTCAGAGTCATTTTCACCGTATGCGCCAAGAGCCAACTCAACCTATTAATGATTTCCTCTCCCAAATGTATTCTGTTTGGGATCAACTTGCTCTCTCTGAACCTCCATGGCCCTACACTGAAGATGCTACCTTGTTTACTAGTTATCGTGACCAACAATTGAAGATGCTACCTTGTTTACTAGTTATCGTGACCAACAACGATTGGTTCAGTTTCCTATGGCTCTAACTCCCTATTTTGAGCCGGTACGTGCATCTCTCCTTCATTGCACTCCCTTACCCACTCTTGAGCAGGTTATTTCCGAACTTCTATTAGAGGAAACTAGACTTGGTACTCTCCATCCGCACCCTGTGGACTCTGTTCTTGCTACTCCCCAGACTCAGAGTTCTCCTTCACCACAGCAGTCTACTGCCTACATCTACTGTCAAAATTGCGGTCTTCCGTCCACTCATCTTCTGGTTCATTGTCCAGTTCGTCTTTGTCGATTTTGCAACAAGACTGGCCCTGGTCATCTCCAGCAAGATTGTTTCCACATTCCAGATCGCACCTCTCCCGGCTCCTCGTACCCCTCATTATGCTGCTTTAGTTCGTATCCTTCGCTATCTCAAAGGTACCTTGTTTCATGGTCTTCATTATTCCGCCCACTCCTCTCTTCAACTTCATGCTTTCTCCGATACTGATTGGGCTGGGGATCCTACTAACCGCCGATCTACTACCGGGTTCTGTTTTTTCTTAGGCAATTCTCTTATTTCTTGGTGCAGCAAGAAACAAACTCTTACAGTTCATTCCAGTAAAGAGGCTGAATATCGTGCTCTTACTGATACTACTCAGGAGCTTGTCTGGCTTCGTTGGCTTCTTGCTGACATAGATGTTACCCCCTCTGGTGCTACTGCCTTCTTTTGTGACAATTAGAGTGCTATTGAAATTGCTCCCAATAATGTTTTCTATGATTGCACCAAGCACATTGAGATTGACTGCCATTTTATTCGTCAACACGTCACTCGTGGTACTGTTCATCTCCATTCGATCTTTTCTGTTGATTAACCTGCTGATATCTTCACCAAAGCTCATTCTCCTGGCCGCTTCATTGACCTTGTTTCCAAATTTCAGTTGGTTGATGTTTACCCTTCTTGAATTTGCGGGGGACTGTAAATAATAATTAATGTATATATGTGTAATGTATAGATTAATAGATAGTGGCTAATAATTGTGCTCACCTTTCGGCTTCAGCTAAAAACTTGCCCTCATGATAGTCTCCCTCATGATGATGTTTTGTAATAGCATAGCATAGCATATCATATTGTTCTCTCCTATATAAAGGAGTGTAGTGTTTTCCTCTAGATTCAGAAGATTGAATACAAGACTTATTTCTTTCTCTTCTCAATTAACTCTCTCAAATTATCAATCTCTATTTCAAAAGAATATTAAAAAAATAAAATAAAACAAACAATGATTTCTTACAAATATAACGGAAAATTCTTTGTTAATTTAGTATTTATGAATATTTTAACTCAACAGCAATATTACTTTGTGAAGAGTAAAGAGGACACGTCAAGTATATGCACTCTATATTTGCACACAATAAAATTTACATTACACGCCAAATGATGAACTTGGAGTTTAATTATAAAGAACGGGGATGCCAATTGCAATCCCTAATATAATGGGCTAAAGGAGATGCTATTTTCGTCACTTTTGTTATTACTTTAGCAGCGAAGTGACTATTTTATTGCCATTATATTATTTTGCATGATTGTGGAAACATAATTTTCGACATGTCTATGTGGCTAGGCTTAGGGTCAAGGTGGCATGTTTCGACATGAGCTGCACTGAGATATGAAAACGATTTATATTATGGCCGAGATATAAGACGAATAATAAGAGTTCTAATAGAAGACTCTTTAGAGAGATTAATCCTAATCCAACTAGGAGAGATAAATCATAACTAATTTGCTATTTCTAAAGGAAATAAGAGTTCTATTGAAGTATGATCACTAGGAGGATGAGGAGGGCACTAGTATTCTATATAAAAAAATAGGCACCCCATAAGTGGGAGGTATGTGATTTTATATGTGTTTACTTGTGTGAGTTATTGATCTGCTCACCTTTTCAAGTTGTAGATCTCATCTAGTGCATGTGCTCTTCGATTTTATTCCCGAAGTCTTAGGAAGAAGATTCAGTTTGATTACGTGGTCAAATTTTAACACACACAATGATGATTTTGGCCACTTGTCGCTAAAACTATTTTTTCATTTAATTTTAAGTTCAAGCTCAAGTTAAAAAGTTAATGGTGTTGGAACTAAATGGAATAAAAGTGTGTGGCTTATGGGAAAGGGATATAACAGTATATTACTCGATTATATGAGCATATGGTTCTAATTTAAGACTTTATTTGGTTCACTAGAATGAGTGTGAATGAAATGAAATGATCATTTTTTAGATTTTTATATAGAATGACCATTCTTTTGAAATAGTGAATAATGATTATATTTATAATGCATTTTGTCACTATTTTTGTTAGTCAATAAAAAATAAAAATGAATATTTTGATAGAATAATCATTTCATTCCTTTTTATTCGAGTAAATCAAATACTAGCTAAGCGAATGGCCCTTATAACTAACAAAAGTTGGTAAGAGATATTTCAAATTTAGTTTCATTCCACTGACTCTCCTCAAATTACTAGTTTGCAAATTGTGTATTAGTTAAAATGGAACCATTACTGTTTTTTTTTTCTTGGTACAAAAAAAAATAAAATAAAATAAATAAGTAAATAAATACAAAAATTGAATGTAGATCTCATTAATTTTCTGAGTAAATTTTTATGTATGAGTTTTGAATCTATAATTCTACTATAATTTAAAAGAAATTGTTAAATCTATAGCTTGATATTGACAGCCACAACGGGAGGTCCTAAAAAGTTAAGGTAGGCAAAAATTCTAAACGCCGACTTGACCATAATATTATTGCTTGAGTTGACTCGAACACTTGATTGGGTTCAGAAATTAAAAAATATAATGAAAAATATTGTGTGCAACTCAAGTTCTAATTTTTTATTGTGGCTTTTATTATTTGACAAAATTTTCTAATTTTTTTATTGTGGTTTTTATTATTTAACAAATTTATTGTTTAAAAATTTAATAATTAGTTGTAGGACAATTTTCACTGTATTTAAAAGATTTAATTCTATTGTGTACACAATAACAATTAGAATTTAAAGAAAATAAAGAAAAGGAGAGAATTTGTTTGATTACAAAAATCAAACTCGAAATAAAAATAAATAAATAAAAACAGATTTTATTTTGTTACAAAAACAAAATTTCAATCTGATTTTAATAAATAAAAACAACACTGAAAATAAATTATATAACTTACTTGATTTAATTTGTTCGAATTATTTTCTGATCAAGTCCAGTGTTTGACACTGTATCCTTAAGACAAATTCGTCCTCTCCACGGTGCTTTCAGAATTTGGACGTCTATCTCCCAGGATGAAATGATCTTACCACAAACAATAGTAGCACTACAAATTGTTTGCCTTACGAACACACTAAGTGTTTATACTCTTTCTTTCAGAAATAAAATGCAACAAAATGAAGAATAGAATAAGCAGAGGTGAAATACGAAATTTCTGAATGAATAACATCAAATGAGGGTGGTCCTATTTATAGATGTAAAGGTGGCTCTTGGTTTTAAATTGAACAGGTATGATACCTGTTGGTTTTGAATTCAAACAGATTTGAATCTGTTAACAATTCAAACAGATAGCAAAAACGGGAAGGGCCTTATTTAAGTGTGCACTAATTCCAAACTAGTTTATTTCTGTTTGAAAATGGGAAGGGCCCTGTTTAGATGTACAGAAAATCTAAATCAGTTTAATTTGAATTCTGGATTTTATTTTACCAAAAAATAAAATTAAATTCAAATATTTTTTGCCCAAAAAGATTAGAAGCCCAACCCAACCACACACCCGCGCCCAAGCCCAGGCCCAGCCCAGCCCGCCGCCAGTGGACCGGGCCTCTAGCTGGGCCAGTGGGCCTAGGCTCGAGCTTTGGGCGGGTCTAATCAATTTTTTAATTTTTTAAAATTTTTTCCACCAAAATTTTATTATTTTCCATTAAAAATAACACTAGGCCTTGGGCGGGCTGGGCTTTTGAGTGGGCCGATGGGTCGAGTCACGGGCAGGGCCGAGCCAGGCTTCAAAACAATGGCCCAAGTCCAGGCCTAGGCCCAGGCCCAAGGCCTCGGGCTAGGCTTGCGCCCGAGCCTAAATGGACTGGGCCCCACCTCGGGACGGGTTGACTTAGGGGCCACATGCCATTTTTACACTCTTACTCATCACTAATACTTAAAATTTTGTTAATCAATATCCATAAAATACTCATTAATAAGATAAAACTAATAATAATAATAATAATAATAATAATAATAAGAGAAAAATAATAAAAAGTCCAATCTAAGGAGAGTATGACAATTTGGTTCAGTGAATATTTTTTGTTGGTGAGAGATTTACCCTTTGTGAAATAATTTGGTGAGAAGTCATTTTGTTGGTTTTGGAGGACATTTTGTTTCCAATTTTACTCTTTATCTATCTGTTATTTTTTAACTGTTTGTTGACTTTTTGTTCAAATTTATATCTATTTGTTCAAATTTTTTGACTATCTGTTCAATTTTTTCCTTATATGTTCAAAATTTTACTATCTGTTGAAATTTACCACCTAAAATATTGAATTTTTACACTTTTTTTTCTCTGTCTCTATCTGTTGAATTTAATCTGCTAAAATTTTGCTATTTAATTTTTTACCTTATCTGTTCAAATATTTGTCCAAATTTTATTATCTGTTGAAATATAAGCCAAACTAAATCCTATCTGTTAAAATACAGAGCCAAACCAACCCTATCTATTGCAATAATAGACAAAGTATTACCCATTATCTGTTGAAAATATTCATTCTCAAACACACATCTACAGATATAGATGATATATTATCTGTACAAAATGAAGCCACTTTGGACAGATACAAAAAATAAAAATAAAAAATACAAACAAAAACATATCAAACAAAAATAAACATATCCAAAGCTACCTTCGGCAAATACAAAAGATAAAAAATAAAAAGAACAGATCCAAAGCTACCAAAACATATCCAAAGCTACCTTGGGCAGATTTTGGCATATACAAATAAATAAATAAATAAAATAAAAAATAAAAAATAAAAAATAAAAAATAAAAACCAAATCAAAAGAATAAAAATAAAAATTTCAAGCCTCTTTCATTCTTGGGGCCCTACTTCTGTATGGTATAGTTTGATACTTCTTTGACTCACAACCATATGAACTCAAATCAAACTTCTATTTTTGTTTGTTCATCACTACATCTTTACCCGACAACAGATTTGATTACGTTACCTTTTCATTATTCCCAAAGGATTATTAAAACATTAATATATAAATATATATAAGGTTTGAGATCTGTGTGGACGGCAGTCAGATCTTCTCGAATTTAACGGAGCCACCAACGGGGGATGAAGAATATGTGGTAGTGCAATGGATGTAAGGGCGGTGCGGTAAATCTTCTCTAATCTACACGCTAAGGTAAAAAAAATAAAAGTTCATCAATGGCGTGAGGGCGATGCGATAAATATTGATTCGTCAGACCGATCACAATCCAACAAGCCTGAACCACAATAGTCCGATGTCCGAACAGGTTGAGCAGGCTCTGGCAACTTCTAGATCTTTGGCAACAGTGTGTTAGAGAAGGTTAAACTCAATATAATCTCATGGAGCTAATGTAATTCCAAAAAAAAATGAAGCATGTTCAAGATATAACAATCCATATGCCAAGAAAAATCATGAATTTCAATATGTACCACACATTTAAGCATAGGCATGATTTTTAGGTAAGAGCGTCATC